ATGATCACCATCTTTCCATCTTTCACAGTCCTGTGCACATGCATGTACTAACCTTCTGTATGTGTTGTTCATGGGCTGCTCTAAGGACTCGGCCTTTTTACCCCCAATTTACAGAAAAAAAAACAGAGGCACCTGTTTTGCTGAAGTTTGGGTGGAAGGCTTAGGAAAGCCCATTTTTATCATTTTGGGAACAAATATGTGAAACCCTAAGGGCTCATCTGATCCACTAAGGATAATCTCCCCACCTTTGTTTGGTTTTTGTTGTGTTTTGTTTTGTTTCAGAGGTAATTTAATGATTCATCAGTTGCATATAACACCCAGTGTTCATTACATCAAGGTCCCTCCTTAATGCCCATCACCCATTTACCCCATCCCCCCACCCACTTCCCCTCCAGCAACCTTCAGTTTGTTTCCTATACTTAGGAGTCTCTTATGGTTTGTCTCCCTCTCTGTTTTCATCTTATTTTTCCTTCCCTTCCCCTATTTTCATCTCTTTTGTTTCTTAAATTCCACATATGAATGAAATCATATGATATTTGTCTTTCTCTGACTGACTTATTTCCCTTAGCCCTCTAGTTCCCTCCATGTCATTGCAAATGGCAAGATTTCATTCTTTTTGATGGCTGAGTAGTATTCCGTGTGTGTGTGTGTGCGTGTGTGTGTGTGTGTGTACCACATCTTTAGTCATTCATCTGTCAATGGACATCTGGACTCTTTCCATAATTTGGCTATTGTGGACATTGTTGCTATAAACATTGGGGTGCATGTGCCCCTTCAAATCAGTGTGTTTGTATCGTTTAGATAAATACCTAATAGTACAGTTGCTGGGTTGTAGGGTAGTTCTATTTTTACCTTTTTGAGGAACCTCCATACTGTCTTCCAGAGTGAGCCCAATCCCTTCTAAGGGCTCATCTGATCCACTAAGGATAATCTCCCCACCTTAAAATCAGTGGACGTAGGACCTTAATTCCATCTGCAAAATCCCTTCACAGTAGCACCTAGATTCAGGTTTGATTAAATAACTGGGAGAAGATACCTATACACTAGGAGATGGACATCTTGGGAACCACCTTATAATTCTGCCTATCACAAATCCTTACAAGCTGCTTCTCTTCTGTCAAGGGTAGTGTCTGTTATAGGCTTTCTTAGCATCCCTCTTTGTTTTCTCAGTTTTGTAATCTATTATTTTTAGCAAATACTGTTGAGCCCAGGGACACCTGGGTGGCTCAATCTGTTAAGCGTCTGCCTTCAGCTCAGGTCATGATCCCACAGTCCTGGGATCGAGTCCCATGTCGGGTTCCTTGCTCAGCAGGGAGCCTGCTTCTCCCTCTGCCTGCCGCTCCCCTCTGCTTGTGCGCTCTCTCTCTGACAAATAAATTTTTAAAAATCTTAAAAAAATACTGAGCCCATAATTATGTGTCATGTGGGACATTTCATATTTTGATGAAATGATGACAGTGGCTGTCATTTGTGAGGACTTACTATTTGTCAGATGCTGCTCTGAGTTTCACATGCATTACCTCACGAGAAGCATCACCACAATCTGTGCAGAAGGTGCAGCTGGTATCACAAGCTCCAAATGGGAACGCTGAGCCTGGGCATGGTTAAGTAACACGCCCAAGATCCAACAGTTGGAAAGCAGTGGAGCTGGGACTCAAACCCACATCCCTTTTCCTTCAGAGCCCTCCTTCCTAACCTATTTCCATCAGTTGTTGTCTTACTCTGTTGGAGTTTTGAAAGGTTGTGGAATGTCCTCCATATCTATGATGATTATCATTCATCCATTCCTTCTTCATCAGATCTGCAATCTAATAACAGAAAATATCACATATGCCAAGTCCTTTCTAGCAGCAAAGGACATCCCTAAAAGTCAAATAGCGAAGAGACACAAGGGTGTTAGAGCAGTTTAAAGCTTGACTTTGGGGGAGGATAGTCCAGTATCTTAGCAGTTGGCATTTTAATGTGCCTTGTTCGTGGATTCTAGGATGTACTTGGCTGCCTGGTTTTATTCCAAACATTGATTAATAAGCTTCATCAAAAAGAAAACTCACCAATTCAGCCCTGGAGAGCAACTTCATATCTTCTTTCCAGGGCGACCAGCCTGTGTCGGCAGGAATCAGAATAGAAATGGTACCCATCCATTGAAAACTAATGTCCCCTGACTTGAAATAGCACTTATGCTGGTGACACCATATCTTCATTGTGAACAGAGGATTGACCTGTGCTACTGGCTAGAGGAGGAAAATAAATGGTTATAACAGGAGAGATGACATTGACAGAACCTTCTTCTGAAAGGCATTTGCTTTTTGATTAAAAAAAAAAAAGGACAAAAATGGCATTGATTTATGTTTTAATTGTAAGCTGAGTCTCATAAATGAGTACGACTATGTAGAGTGCTCCAGGGCCACTAATTTGGGAAGAAGGGCCAACAGCTGAGATGATCTGGCCTAGAACTTTCTTATTTTCTCTTGTAGCTGCCCCTCCATTTGTCCTAACAGCAGGTAGGTAATAACCCCAGGCCTGCAATTCCCATAGGAATTGAAATGCCAAGTTATGCATCCACTTCTGTGTTCTGATGGAGTAAATTCTTCACCTTCCAAAATCTGAGATCCAGGTCAGTTGGGAGAAGACCTTAAGGATCTGGCAGTAGACTTAACCATCAGGGTGACTTTAGCAGCAAGCAGCTAGTGATTCACCACACGCATTCCCTTTTACTCTTGGACTCGGAGCCAGATGACATTTCTCAGCCTTTTTTGCAGTTGAGCATGGCTGTGTGACTGAGTTCTAGACAGTGGAAGTGGCAGAAGTGATGTGTAACATTTCCACGGTTGATAAATAAAGTTTCAGTATGTGACCCTCCATCCTCTTTCTTCTCTTCTTAGCCAGCTGGATGTCAGTGTCTAGAGTGCTGAGATCCTGCAAGTTAATCACGTCACAATCAAAGGATTTCAATATCCTCTCTTCTGGAGAAGCATCTCGTTCTTTAGGTTTCCCTGAAGCACTTCACCCCAGCCTCCTCTGACCTACATTTTTTGTTGTTTACTTGTAAAAGCAAGAACATAATAGGTGTGTTTAAAAGTCATTTGCACACAGCTGAGGAAAGAATTAGTGAATTGGAAGATAGCTCAGAACAAATCCAAAATGAAGCACCAAGAGCAAAAGAATGGAAAGTGCAGATGGGTGTCCAAGAGACAGAGGACACACTCAAAAAGCTATACACACACAAGGATAGGGAAAGAGAATGAGGCAGAAAAAATATTTAGACAGATAATAGCTGAAAAATTTTCAGAAATAAGAGGTATCGAGGTACAGATTCTAGAAAAGTAGCAAATTCCAAGCAGGATATGCAAATAAACTCCAATTAGACACCTTATAGTGAACCTGCCCTACAATTAAATATAAAACAGATGAACATAGGGGAAGGGAAGGAAAAATAAGATAAGATAAAAACAGAGAGGGAGGCAAACCATAAGAGACTGTTAACTCTAGGAAACACGCTGAGGGTTGCTGGAAGGGAAGTGGGTGGGGGGATGGGGTAACTGGACGACAGGCATTAAGGAGGGCCCTTGATGTAATGAGCACTGGGTGTTATATGCAACTGATGAATCACTAAATTCTACCCCTGAAACTAACAGTACACTATATGTTAACTAAATTGAATTTAAATTAATTAAATAAATAAGTAAATACAAGGGGAAAATCTTAAAAGGAGCCTGAAAAAAAAGGTAAGATTACCATCAAGTAAGCAGAATTTATATTTTTACAGTAAATAAGATCCTTACAACATTTTTATGACTTGACACCTTAACCAAATTTTTAACTTATTTTGGAGACTGATTGTGCTATATAGAGATTCTCTTCTAAAGCTAGGATGCAGGATTTAAAGGGCTGTTAAGCAAGAGAGGATGCTTCAACTTGTCCTATTAAGCTCCAAGGGATTGGACCAAATATCAGTGTTATGGAGGATACAAAAAAAGCCTCTCTACTTAATATAAGGAAGGGATAGCAAACAATTTGTGTTGTTAAAATCCGGAATAAGTTACTTTAGTTGAGAATTGAGTTTTCCTCCATCAAAGGCAGATACATTAATTCATTTATCAAATATTTATTAAGCACTTATAACTATGTACCAGTTGTAAGTGCTGGGGACATATATCAGTGAACACCAACAAGAACAAAAAACATAAGCATCCCTTCTATGGAGAGCTTATATCCTAGTGCAAGGAAACAAACAAACATAATAAAGAAATCAGTTATACACTGTGTTAAAAGATGGTAAGTGCTAAGGGAAAAAAAAATAGAACAGGGCAAAGGGGATCAGGATTACCGGGGGAAGGTTTGTGATGGGCAGAGTCGGCTTCGTTGAGAGGTATCATTTGGCCAAAGACCTTAGGGAGGAAAGAGTGAGCTCTAAGAGTCTAAGTGGTTAAAGGAAACAGATTGGTGGGCATTACTTCCAACTCTATAATTCAGTCCTGTCATATATTTCAAAATAAGTTTGAAATTTTAGCAAACAAATTGCCATTGATTATTATGAAATAATATATATAAAAATTTCCTGTATTGTGTTCATTAATGAAAGCTGTTCATCCTCACTATGACATCATAGAAACTTTGCCCTTGAAAAACATTTGTTTTGAAAAATTACAGATTCCAGGAAGGATGTTGTACCTTCTGTCAGTATCTCAGAATTTGGAGATTAGAGCAGATAATTAGTATAAGCTTGTTAGAGAACTGGACTGTCATCTTGAGAAAGAGATATAAAGAATCTTCACAGAGCATTCAAAAGTGGAATTGTAGGTTTGCTCTTCAGAATCAGATTGCTTTTGGAAAAAAAGAAAAGCCAACAAACACCCAGTTGCTTTGATTAAAAAAAAATAATGTTTGTCTCTGATGTGGAGTTCTGCAGTGCCAGCCATTTGAAGTCTAGAGGGCTTTGACATGAGCAGAATGAAAAGCCAAGAATATCTTCACTGTTAACTTGTAGTCTTATGTTGCAGGCACACAAAAAGTCCCTGTGGACGATTGAACCCAGTAAAGGCATGGTTCCCCCGGAAACCGATGTTCGGCTGACACTGACAGCCAACCTGAATGACATCCTGACCTTCAAAGACATGGTCATTTTGGACATAGAAAATAGCAACACTTACCGGATTCCTGTCCAGGCTTCTGGAGTTGGCTCCACCATCGTCTCAGATAAGCCCTTTGCTCCAGAACTCAATTTGGGAGCACATTTTAGGTAGGGAAGCATGCTGGACCAATTCTTAAAGATACTACAGATGTTGCATTAGCTGAGCATCACCTCTACTTTGAAAAATTATTTTAAATAAATAGAATTAGTGTCTTCAACCCTCCCCCCTTCCTGTCTTCACTCTCCCTTCAAATGGATACATCAGCCACAAGAAGACATTTTCTAGGCCCAGCGTAGTGGAGTTCTCCAAGCTGTGTCCCTCCACACTAGAGAAGAGACTTCTAGAAGTGCGTTTTTCTCTCAAACATACAGTGGCTTCTTTGTGACAAATTTAGAATCCCAACCATGACGTCTCCTCTTTAATTCCCATGCACTGCTAATTCCTCTCCATGAATGTAGAAAATACAGATGCAACTTGGTGGTGACCTAAATAGAGTATAACTTGGAAGGTTAAAAAATTTATTGTATATTATCCAGTTATTGCAAGGCCAGTAATTTTTCTTGTACTATGTCCTCTGCTTGTCTCCCCACCCAAGCACCAACAATTGAGAAGGTTGCAATTGGCTCCACCTGAAAAGCTAGGGAATCTCCATATTTATATAAAAGGTGGTACAGGATAGACATCTTTGAGCAGAACAGTCTAAATGCAGCTCTGAAAATGTATGAGGTTTGAATGCTAACAGTAGAGGATATATATGGGGGTTTATTCATGGCTTCTCAGAGGAGTCACATGGCTGCCACTAGTCGACTCTTGGGGGCCAGTTGAATTTGGCCTATTGCAATACTGTGAACAGATCTCAGAGGGGTACTACTGCCTTCTGGTGTAACAGGCCTTGAAACCAAGATGGACACACTATACTTAGAGAAGATGTGCCTGACAAAAGTCAGTTAGGAGCCCTCCCCACAACCCCATTCACACCTCCTTTCCTCTGCTCCATCTACAACACATGACACTTGATTGAAAATACATTAACCAATAGGCATGAAGTAACAGGTGAGTCAGATAGTTGAATTTCATTTGTTTTCAGAGAAGCATTCAATTACAGTTTTTGTGTCAGCTAGGTATAAAAATGCTCCTCTCCACCTGTCTATTGGCCATAAGCTAGGGCATGTTGTCATTGCGTACCATGTTTCTATTTCCAAACTTCTCGTTAAGTGCACTCAAATATAATTATAGAAAACAATATACTGCATGCCAGACTTAATTACATGTTCTCCTTAGTCTACAAATAGTGTCACAAAGCCCCAAAGGATTTTCTGACACTCGCCTAGAAATGGAGGGTTAGCTAATAGTTGTCTATGAATGTAGAAGCAAACTGCAGCTTTTAGCTGCCAATTTCTTCTCTGGACAAACCCTGCAGTTATTCTTTTCACCATAAAATCATAATGCCAGCAATCTCCAGGAGAAGCGTCAAGAGCAGGGGTGGGCAAAGTGCAGCCCACTGCCTGCTTCTATAAATGAAGTCTTACTGGCACACGGCCGTGCCCATTCCTATACAGACAGTTTCTGTGGCTCCCTTCACACAATGGAGAGTTGAGTAGTCATGACAGACCACGTGGCCCAAAGAGTCTGAAGTATTTATTATTCATCCCTTTACAGAAACAGTTGGCTAACTTTTTGAATGTAAGGGTCTGAAAAAATACCCATATGGCGCCTCTTCTGGTTGCATATTTTGGGGCAACTCCCTTAAATTTTCAGAGCTTCTATTTCTTTATCTATAAAATGGGAGAAAATATACTTATTATTACTGGGTTGCTGGGAGGATTGACAGATATACCTACTGTGTATAAGTGACAGAAATGCTGCCTACTTTATAAACAGTTTATATTATTTATTATTTCCCTAAAGCCTGGACATAGCCATAAAGTCAAGCTACTCCAGTAAGCTTGCTCTGTGGATGCATATTTAGATAGAAATGGTTACACCTGACAGTTGGCAAATACTCATTATTTATCGGATGCTTCAACTTACTTATTAGATATGATGTATTTCTAATGAGGAACAGAGGGGATGAAATCTCAAAACCTGATAAAATTTTAAAAATAAAAAACAGTCCTCAGTCCTGAGATGAGTTTTCTCCCTGGGGGGAAAAAAAATTTAAGTAAGCTTATAAATCAGTTATTTTATTTTATTTCTATTTTTTTTAAGATTTTGTATATTTATTTGAGAGAGAGACAGAGATAGCAACAGAGAGCATGAGCAGGGAGGAGGGGGGAGGGGGAGAAGCAGGGAGCCTGATGAGGGGCTCGATCCCAGGACCCCGGCATCATGACCTGAGCCTAAGGCGGACGCTTCACCGACTGAGCCACCCAGGCGCCCCTAAATCAGTTTTTTTTTTAAATACCAAACCAAATCATGTTTGAGCCACCTCCAAGTTCTTAGAAATCCCAGTGTCTTGCAAAGAGCCAGACAATCAAGAGGTTCTTAATAAATATTCATGGGATAGATGAATGAACAAACAAATGAATTAATGAGTGAAATAGCAGAATTTTTAAAGCACCAATCTGAGAAAAATGACCACAGCTGATGTTCTGGTCCATCGTACAGTCCCTTTGAGCTTTGGTTGGGCTTGGTGGGTATGTGTGCTTTCTCTTCGAAGTATCCTTCAAGTTGAGCTTGTCACAAGATATTTTGCTCAGTCAGTGGAAATTTACTCAACACAAGTTGAAATGTATCTCTCCTCCAGTAGGTATTTTGCTTTCCCTTCACTCCTCAGAATCATTTCTCATAAATTAGAGTGGTTTTTGCACATACTGTGTCTGTGTTCTGTGCCCCTTCCCTGGTAATGGCAACTCAGGGACCAAACCCAGGTGCCGGACTCCAGTCTGTGGCCTCCGTGAGGAGACCCTACCTTGTCCCGTTACTGTGGTGGCTCCTTGTAGCCTCGTGATTTAGCCTTCCTAAATTTTTAAAAATATATTTCATTACTCACTTTTTAAATACTCTCAGAGGAGTAAATCCCAAGGGTGTAGAGCTGAACAGAACACCTCAAAGCTGAGTCCTGTCCATCCCTGCCTCCTCTTTTCCAGCCTGGACACCTATTATTACCGCTTCAAGTTGACCAACAAAGGACGTCGGGTCCAACAGTTGTTCTGGATGAACAAAGATTTCTGTCCACAGGACAAGCTGAGCAAGAAGGGCCTGACTAAGAAGGGTCTTGCTAAGAGCCAGCCCCAACCCCAGTGCTCCCAGGAACCCAGGGCTCCTCCAGGCCCCGTGTTTCAGCTCCATCCCGTCAGAATGGAGCTGTTCCCAGACCAAACGATCGATGTGATACTCGAAGGCTATTCTGCTACTCCCAGGGTAAGAGGACAGCACATTTAGAAGCCATTTTTCTCCTAAATAAATCTTTGCTCTATTTCTTAGGAGAGTCCCTTGACATTTATCTGAAGAAAGAATGTGGTTTTTCACACAGCACGGAGTTACCATGGCAGCACCCATTGCCTTCAGGGGTTCAGCTCTGCTCAGTTTTCTGTTTGTTTCTACAGCTACCATGAACCCAGCCTTACAATACCATTTCAAGTAGGTTCTCATCCCCAGGGTCAGCAGGGACCAGCCAGCAAGTCTCTGACAGAGGGACAGCCAGCGTTCAGCCAAAGCTAAGCCTCTTCTTAACACTTAGCAATATTAATTTCATATTTATTCAAAAAGGATGTTTTTAGAGACACTCTCAGCTGCCTCTCCTATCCAGGGATTAGGACATCCTTGGTCCCTTCCCTCTCAACCTGACACAACAGCTTCCTCTTTATAACCATCATCTTTTTATGTGTCAATTAAAAAGCTGAGTTATTTTCAGCAACTCTGATGTCTTGCTCATATTTATATCATCACTATTCTGCTTTAAACATTTAAGCAGTTCCAAATCATTGTCTCTTTATTCCTGTTCCCTCATGGAAATTGGAAACTGTCAAAAAAATAAAAGAAACTTCCTGAATTACTGCTGAGCCTCTTCTACCTCACAAATGCAGACTCTCTGGATGAGAAATGATCATGCTTGAGCTCCTGCTGGTGTCACTGAAGTAGGAGGTGATACTGAACTTCTTTATCACAAAATAGGAAATGATAGAAATTTTTCTCCCTGAAGATAAGATGGGAAAGCCCGTCCCTTGCCTTAGCTCCTCTAGGGTCACAGATTTTATTTCCTTTACATTGTTTCTTTGCAGAGCATTTTCAGGCAAAAACAAAAAGGATTCAGTGCAAAAACAAAAAGAAAAAGGTTATTTCCCATCCCGGTAATTAATGTGCTCTTTCTTTCTGTTATTCAGGGATTCAGCCAACTTTTACTCAGTATGTACCCCATGACAAGCACTGTGCTAGGCACTGAGGCTGCAGAGATGAATGGAATGCAGCCCCTCATCTCAAGACACTGGCCGCCCATTGCAGGAGCACATTTACAATGTTGTTATCAAGAGCCAATCATATTTTTAAAGACATTAAATCTGAGCAGCTGGGATTCTAAATTCAGTTTAAGATTTACTGAAAGCTTCCCGGAATGTTCTTCCCTGTTGTAGTATATAATTGAGAAGAGACTTGAATTCATGAACATCCAAAACCTGAGTACTCTTCAATATAAGCTATTTGTGATATCACTTCACTCGGGGCCCTTTGTTCTTTATAAAAATCTGGGCCTTTTGGGTCCAAAGAAATACTGGTTTCTATAGCATGTTTTTTTTAAATAATCAAGAATGAAAGACAAAATTTTTCTAGCCATAGTCCTGACTAGCTTATAAGAAATCATGTATCTACCATTGAACTATAAGCCCAGGAAGGATTTTACCTGCCTTACATAATACATGTTGAACTGAATGTAAATCGATTGTGTCCTCAGGAGCAGTCAGAAACCAACACAGGATCCATCCAGGACATACTCGACCAGTCAGACTTTAATAATAGTGTGACAGAGGGCAATCCCTGGAATGCACTGCTCAGAAAAATGTGCTTTTTCCCTGGTGTCTCCAGGCAGGTAGTTGAGAATTAGCTTGCTGATTGTTGAGAAATAAGTTTTCTGAGCTATGGATGTTCCAAAAGTGCTGGTGTGTCTTCTCTACAGAGAGTCAAAGAAAAGCTGGTGTGCCATGCCATGATCGGGGCGCAAAAGGGGAAGAGCTTGGTGATGACTGTGAATATCCTCTGTGAGTTCATAGCACCACTCATCCAGCTGTCCACCAAACAGCTCATATACCGACTGGAGAAGGTCAGTGTGGCGTGCTGCCAGGGGCGGGTGCAGTAGGGGTCAGCATGTTCACATTTCCATCTTGGAAGCTAAATTAATGGGAAGCCTGTTAACACCCATACCCAGCCAATGTTTCTTAAGCTTCAGAGGCCAATACACATTCAACTAAAACTTCTGAATCTAAACCTACATTCCTCTGAAATGTAAATTGCTATGGAAATTCTACTTCCATCATTCCTGGTTTAGAAGACCAAAGTAAGTGAAGGGGTATTCCAGCGCACTGCAAATGCATTTTAGTTGATCCTTTTACTCTAACTAGATTAAATAAACATCACGGTATAGAAAGGGTTGGAGTAGAATTATTGATAATTATAATAATCAGTAAGAATAGCTGCCACTAGTAACCTCTTTGACCTCGGCTGTAGCGATTTCTTACTAGACACATCACCAGAGGCAAGGGAAACAAAAGCAAAAATGAACTATTAGGACTTCATCAAGATACAAAGCTTCTGCACAGCAAAGGAAACAATCACAAAACTAAAAGGCAGCCTACAGAATGGGAGAAGATATTTACAAATGACATATCTGATAAAGGGTTAGTATCCAATTATCAAACTCAACACCCCCCCCAAAAAAAAACAACAAATAACCCAGTTAAGAAATGGGCAGAACAGGGGTGCCTGGGTGGCTCAGCCGTTAAGCGTCTGCCTTCGGCTCAGGTCATGATCCCGGGGTCCTGGGATCGAGCCCCGCATCAGGCTCCCTGCTCAGCGGGAAGCCTGCTTCTCCCTCTCCCGCTCCCCCTGCTTGTGTTCCCTCTCTCGCTGTGTCTCTCTCTGTCAAATAAATAAATAAAATCTTTATTAAAAAAAAAGAAATGGGCAGAACAGGTGAATAGACACTTTTCCAGAAAAGACATCCAGATAGCTAACAGACACATGAAAAGATGCTCAACATCACTCAGCATCAGGGAAATACAAATCAAAACCACGAAGAGATACCACCTCACACCAGTCAGAATGGCTAAAATTAACAAGTCAGGAAACGACAGATGTTGGCGGGGATGCGGAGAAAGGGGAACCCTCCTACACTGTTGGTGGGAATGCAAGCTGGTGCAACCACTCTGGAAAACAGTATGGAGGTTCCTCAAACAGTTAACAATAGAACTACCCTATGACCCAGCAATTGCACTACTAGGTATTTACCCAAAGGATAAAAAATACAGATTTGAAGGGGTACATGCATGTCGATGTTTATAGCAGCATCATCAACAATAGCCAAACGATGGAGAAGAGCCCAAATGTCCACCGGCTGATGAATGGATAAGGAAGATGTGATATATATATAATGGAATGTTACTCAGCCATCAAGGAGAATGAAATCTTGCCATCTGCAACGACATGGATGGAGCTAGAGTGTATTATGCTAAGCGAAATAAGTCAATCAGAGAAAGACAAATACCATACGATTTCATTCATGTGGAATTTAAGAAACAAAACAGATGAATATATGGGAGGGGGAAAAGAAGGAGAGAGGGAAACAAACCATAAGAGACTTTTAATGACGGAGAACAAACTAAGGGTGGATGGAGGGAGATGGGTGGGCAATCGGCTAGATGAATGATGGGCATTAAGGAGGGCACCTATGATGAGCACTGGGTGTTGTACATAAGTGATGAACCCCTGAATTCCTCTCCAGAAATCAATATTTCACTGTATGTTAACTAACTAGAGTTTAAATATAAATTTGAAAAAAGAAAAAAAAAGAATAGCCCCCACTTAACTGATTGAAAGGCACTGGCGTCAAGCTGTTCTCCTCACATACACTTTCCCAGTTGTTTCCTCATAACAATCTATGCTGTAGCTTCTGTTGTCATTCCCATCACACTTGTGAGGAAATGGAGATGCAAGTTAAGCTGTTATGCAGATAACCTAATACTGCCTGAGAATAATCAACTTAAACTGTTTGATTCACACTCTTTAATTTATGTGGCTATAAATGCCCATGACTTTAGATGGCCATTAGGGACAAGCAATGAATGGAGGAGGCAGAGGATGGGGAAAGCTAGGAATGGCAGCCGCTCGGGGCAGGGGGTCAGGGGGTCAGGATGGTGAGGAGGTGGGGGACACATCACAGCAGGACGTGACCTACTCCAAGGCAGACTTCCATCCTAGAATTGTGTAAGATCCAAAACAGATACGTGGAGAATGTCTCCCAAGCTGAGGACTGTATTGGTGCTGGAAATCTGGTGAACCAGCCTGACATAGTCAAAGCTGAGAGACTGGTCAAGGTTACAGACTGTAAACAACTTATTAAAATTTAGTTGTTTAAGATTCCATTTTAAACAGTGCTATGAAGAAGAGATAAAAGGCGCTACAAGAACATGTCTTGGAGACATGGCCGTATTTCTACATGTGGTCATAGACAGCTTCCTTCAGCAAGGACCTCGAGTTGAGACTTGAAGCAGAAATAGAAGTTAGTCTGGTGACGAGGGAGGGGCAGAGAATCATAGGCGGAGGGAACAGCACGTGTGAAGGGCCTGAGTTAGGAAAGAGCTTGGTGAATATACAGAACTGAAAGATCACCTTAGAGAATGTGTCTGGAATGATACGAGGTCCGTTTAGAGAAAATGGGCAGAGGCCAGATGAGTTTGGCATGACTGGGAGGCATGTTCTTGACTTTGGGTTTTGTTCTGGGTGGCCATTGGAGGGCTTTTGGGAGGGAGGGGAGTGACATGGTCAGATTTATTTACTGGAATAGTCATCCTGGCTGCTGAGTGGAATGTTTATCAAGATCTACCATGTACCAGGCACTGTGTTGAGAGCTAGGGATGTAACAGTGAGAATAGTCCCTCCCAGATGTACCTCACAGCGAACTGGGAAACTGAGTATGAAGTAAGCTGTTGTTCCGTAGTGTGGGACATACATAACCAAAGCTAAGTCCTGATGTGGTGTCACACAGATGGATTAAGTTTGGCAGTGCCTAACTGATTATGGGGCAGTCAACCAGGAATCCTTTTGTTACCTGGAGGTTTGCAAGAGAATGTTCAAGACCATTGTTTCTGGTAGTGGATTCCATTATATTTTGTTCATATTAAATATCTGTTGAGCATCCACCACAGATAAAGCGCTCTGCTAGGAGATGAATAAGGGAGCTTATAATCAAGTAGGGGAGGTGAGATGTACAAGTTCACTTCAAGCCAACAGATAGTTTTTGAGCACTTAACATTGTATGGCGGCAAAGACACAGCAAAACCCTGGCTTAATGGGCTAGTGGGGAAAGTAGACATTGAAGTAGAATACGGGTTTCAGCTACAGGTTGGTCAACTAACTGTGACAAGCTCCATGAGACATATAAAAATTAATACAACACAAGTTCCTGCTGCAGTTATTACGTTTTCATTGCTCTATCTTAAAATTTTCCTTTTAAAGTAATCAGGAAAGATATTTATTGGCAAGAGTGCACCAAATTCAGTGGTATCGTATTCCTCTAAATTTGGTTATTCAGAGAAAATTCAGTGAATATTTATTGAATATTTTATGCAAGACATTACAGTGTATATTAAACATGCAGCCTGGTTTCTTATTAGATCTCTTTTCGTAAGCCCATAAACACTCATAAAAATGTGTGCATAGTGTTCCTTTCTTCTTTTTATATCCTTAAGCCTTGGGGGTTTTTTTAGTTCTTGTTTAAATCTCTGAGTTTATCACTAGAATAAAAGAACAAATATTTTGAATATGGCAGTGACTTATTGAATTAAAAAACAAATTATTACAACTCTGTGTTGGTTTGTTTTTTCCCTTCTCTTCTTCCCCCCAAATATCATAATTGTGAACTCTGTCCAACTACTGTTTTTATTTTTTTCATTATTTCCCACTCACATGTAAGCCATATTAGGGACAATGAAGAAATGCGATTTTATTACCCAGCATGCACAAGAGGCCTGTTGGTGTTGGTGTTCTGATTTAATTACATAACACCCAGTTATCTGTCCTGTCTCATTTGGGGCTCGAGGTAGCAGATCTGATTTAGGACATTAGACTGCAATGACACCAGCCCTGCCTATGGGAAGAATTTTTCTATAACCATTTCCTCAGGTTTGATCTACTTTATAATTATGATACCATTCATAAGCCACACAGATGAAGCCACATCTCTGTGGAATTGAAAAGGTCAACTGAAAGTAGCAGCCAGTTTGCTTCATGAAGCCCAGCAGCAAATCCTGTCTCCTGATATTTGGGGAGACAACCCAGAGAGAAGGGGTCATTTTAAAATAGAATGGCTCTGTGTGCATCGTCTCCTTCTCATCGCTAACCTCTAAATGGCCTCTTGCCAAAACCAACCAACTATGGCTTCTTCGTGTCAAAGCTTCCCGCGGTGACACAGAGGCCTGAAGGAAGGTCACTGGGTGGACAGCCTTTGTATGGCCCAAAAGTGCTGCTTCATCCCTCCCCCCGACTGTAGTATATCATCTGCAAATACAAGGTGAATTCAGTACCTGTATTACCGTGTTAGAGGGAGGGAAACAATGCCTGGCATCTCATGGCAAGTGCCATACTGAACGCCTGAAAGAACTCTGGGAGTGCACAGGGGACCCATGGAGTACAACTAAGGCAGGGCTCTTAAGGACTGAATGTTTGTGTCCTTCCCCAACCCCAGATTCACATATTGAACTCCCAGTCTCCAATGTGATGATGTTGGAGGTGGGGCCTTTGGGAGGTGATTAAGTCATGAAGACAGAGCCCTCAGGAATGGGATGAGTGCCCTGAAATTAGAGATAAGAAAGATGATCTCCCTCTCAGCCATGTGAGGACACAATGAGAAGCCAGCCATCTAAAGCCAGACACCGGATCTGCTGGCACCTTGATCTTGGACTTTCCAGCCTCCAGAACTATGAGACATAAATGTCTGTTGTTTAAACTACCCAGTCTATGACATTTGCTATAGCAGCCCAAACTGACAGAGACACCACGGGCGCTGGTTCCCCAAGCTCCTCAGAGCCAGAGCCAGGGGAGCCAGGAACCACAGCAGAAGGAAGACTGGGTTGAACAAAGAAGTAGAGACAGAGTCTGACCAAAATATAGAATCAGAAGGATTTAACTGAAATTGGAACAAGGAGAAAAAGCAAAGCAAAACAATGAGGCCTGGTGAAAACAGGCTAGAGTTATGGGAACGATGGGAGGGAGGCTGTCTTTGGAAATTGGAGATTGAGGCCTGTGGTAGCCTCCTGCTGATATTAAAGGACCTCCTTTCCAAAGCACACAAGAAATAATGGTGACTCTGACATCAGAATGAGAAAAATGTTCAGCTAAAGATCCATTTCTGATGCTTTCTCCAGTTGAAAAATTAAATTTGATGTGTCTAAGAAAGTGAAAAGATGCTTCTAAATCAACTATCCCGGTGTTACAGGAAAAATGTACAAGAAATAGTTATGAGCATTTGTCAATTTAATAATATATAGCAAATGTATAAATTTTTACAAACGATATTTTAAGCATAGAAAAAATGTTGTATAAGGAAAATGTTTTGTTCAATATAATGAGGCACGGGTTCTTCTACAAGATATCACTAATTTATTAAATTTTGTTTTATGATAGTGGAAACTTCTATAGTAATAATACTATAGAGGCATGGCTTTTATAGGTATTTTTACCCTGGCAGCAAGAGAGTAAGAAACCTAATCTGTGTTTTCTGGCTTATGTAGGATCACTTTTCAGTAGTCCACTACTATAAATTCCAAATGATTTATCTAAATCTGTTCACGGGTAGGGGGAAAACAGAGAAAGAGACAGAGCAAGGAGGGGCAGGGGAAAGCTAATTCTGCTGTTAACAATGAATGTGAGACTTTGGTTGCTAAAAGCTTCCTATGTTTATCATAACTCGCGTTCCTCTTTTTCCTCTTGCAGAAACCTAACACTATCCTGGAACCTGATTACCAGCCCTTGGTCATGAAGAACATTTCCACCCTGCCCGTGAATGTGTTACTCTCAACAAGCGGACCCTTCTTTATCTGCGAGACTGATAAATCTCCCCTGCCATTAACTCCGGAGGTAAGTTGACAGAAGCCTGTCCTAACAAGCTCCTAGGAGAGTTGTGTGTGTGACAAAGGAAGAGAATAATGTCAGTATACTACCTAATTTCGGTCCAGACAAATAGAAAGAATTCAAGAAACGAAGAGGAAAGAATACAGAAACTTTTAAATGTCATAAACTCCAATGTCAATCAACTATTATTTAATGGTGTAAGAACTTGGGTTCATCATGATGACCCTTCATTCCTGCCCATTGGAATCTTTAGAAAACAGTGACCTCCCACTAGCGATAATAGAGATCTTTTAATTCTACTTTCTCAAATCCAACCAAGGCTCCATATTCTAGGCAAGAGGGAAATAGCTAAAACCCAGTCCCTAGACCAGAGAGCCCATTTCCAGATACTAAGAAATCTGAACTGCACTGAGGGAGGAGGCTGTGAGCTTACAGAGCCACCAGCCTGACGCAGGATGCAGTATTCTCTAAACACCCTACAAGATCACCCCTGTGATCCTTTGCTGCGCACGAGGATGCCAGTGGAAATGGCCGGGCCATGGGGCAGGTGGTACTGCAGAGCTGTAGGAAAGGAGTGAAAGAGAAACCAAATCCACACACCATTGTGGTGAGCCTCCCAGTCTAAGGAGACAGCTCATGAAGAAGTGGTACAAAGGAGGAAGGGAGGGCAGGCAGTGATAGTCAGATCTCAGAAGAGGGAGCCTGTGACTGAAAATTTGCTGTGAGCCTAACTCAGGGAGATGGATCTTGGGGGCAGAGAGGGGACAGAGCTGCTTAGTAAGCGGGTTGCAGACAGTTCCCAACTGGTGGCTGTAAACTGCACCACCACACTCCCCTCCCCCACAACTCTTTAGTGGGTTTCTTTCAAGCCTAAGCTGGGAAAAGAACGGCGAAGATCTTTGAATAGAGAAATAAAAGGCAGAAGAGGCAGAAGAAAAACGCCAGAAGAAAAACCTACTGCCAGGGAACCTACACAAGGAAGAAGACTGAAAGTATAAACTTTGTTCTCTACAGTCTCAAATAAATGATAGACGATATGGCCTGTCTTTAAGAAAAAAAAAAAACTTAAAGATGAGATACAAGTGTTCTAAGTGGAGACAAAGACTAAACTCACAGAGCAGAGGAGAACAAATGGATGACAAAATGAAAATTCAGACATGAACAGCTTTCTCAGTCTGGGTGGTAGATCAGACCCACTCTCTTGTCCCTCCTGAAACCTTAAGAAAAAAGTAGAAATGTTCTGAAGGAAAGAAGCCCAGAACAACAAAATAAAGGGGGAAGAGGATGCGTATAACCAAATAATGAGAGATTTAAACAAATTCTAGAAGATAGAATGAGGATGGAATGGGTTGACAAAAAGATACAAAAACCTGCATTCTAGAAAATTCTCCAGTGAAATTGCAAAGATGTGGGAATCATTCAGCCTAAGTAGCCCAGTCTCAAAGGCAACAAGTGTGAGGAGAGGACTGGAAGTAGAGGGATTCCATGTGCACTAGACAGCTGTCCCACCTGACCCCACACAAAACATAAGGGCAGCAGGCTTTTATCCCAAGACCTAAAGATAAATGCTCTTCCCGCAGAGAAATTGATCAAAATGTCAGGGGAAATTTAATGTTTCTAGCGTGAGTTTCAGCCCTTTAGGATAATTCCTGGTGTCTAGGGTATGTCCATCCACTGATCATCCCCTCTCTGCCCAAGGAAGCTGTACTGTGGACCAGCCCTATGTTACAAATTGAGACATGGCAGCCTCTAGATTGTTAGGATGCCAGGTTGGGTCAGGAACTACTGCTTCTTGTAGTAACTCTTGTAGCATGGTCTGACCTTTCATATGATTTGCATGTGTAACTTTAATAAAAGCATACATATAGTTTAAAAAAATAAAGAGCCCCTACAAATCAACAGGAAAAATACCAATAGCCCAATAGAAAAATAGGCAAAGGAAATGAACAGGGTTCACAGAAAGAAAAATAAAGCAGTTCTTAAACATATGAAAATGTGCTCAACTTTAATCACATTAGAAGAAATGCAAATTAAAATTACTATGAAACACATTTTTTTCCTATCAGATTGGCAAAGGGCAAAAATTAGATAGTGCTCTGCGTTGGGAGGGCATGTGGAAACAGGCACTCCCACAGTATTGTGGCAGGTATACATCAAAAGGCAATATGGCTACAGCCATCAAAATTTTAAATGCCCATACCCTTTGACTTACTTATTCTACTGCTAGGAATTTACCCTTAAGCTCTACAAGATAGCGTATAGACAAGAATTTTCATTGCAACATTGATTACAAGAGCAAAAGATTGGGAGTCATTTTCCATCAATAGGAGATTGGTTAAATCATTATTGACAGAATTTTATGATGGAATAAAATGCAGCTACAAGGCAACTCCATATGCACTGATGGGTGATCTCCCAGTGAAAAAAGCAAATTGCAGAACAAGAATGCACAGTATGCTATAATATATATAAAAAATTTAAAAATACATATATGAACGTGATTTTATATTCATACAGTATCTTCACAAGCATAAGCAAGACACTTGTAACCTTGGTTACCTCAGGGGTGGGGTAAGAGGTTTAGATTTTTTAAAGTAAGGCCATATCTTGTCCTGGGACAGAACATTATGGAATAGTCAACAGGGAGACATATCTTAGTGAAGTTCCTAGTCTTACTGATAACCAAAGAGTTCTATGGCCTCTAAGCAGAAAAGAAGGGACCCATCAAGGGAGGAGTTTAGACTAACCACAGACTTCTCCATGATAATACTTAATGCCAGATGACAATGGAGCGATGACTTCAGAGTTTTGAGAGAAAGAGCAACCCAGGTACTGTCCTTTGAGTGTAAAGACAACAGACAGACACTCTCAGAATGTGAGGAATCAATGAACACAGCATTCAGACAACTTGGTGAAAAACCCATTTGCCAGTGAAATACAGCCATTCAGGAGAAGAACCGAATAAGGCACTCAGCAATGAAAAACCCTATCAGGGAAAGACTGGTAGGAAGCACTGAGCCCATTCAGCTGTAGAACCAAGACTACACGACTTGGGTGGTTATGACTTGGGAACAAAATGTTTGAAAGCTCTACTTATAAAAAGTAACACTACAGGGGCGCCTGGGTGGCTCAGTCGTTAAGCGTCTGCCTTCGGCTCAGGTCATGATCCCAGGGTCCAGGGATCGAGTCCCGCATCGGGCTCCCTGCTTAGTGGGGGGCCTGCTTCTCCCTCTCCCACTCCCCCTGCTTGTGTTCCCTCTCTCACTGTGTCTTTCTCTGTCAAATAAATAAATAAAATCTTCAAAAAAAAAAAAAAGAAGTAACACTACAGCCAGTAAAAACTGGGAGATGCAGGGAGCATAAGTGTGTTGATATTTCCTCCCTTTTTACAGGTGGGCATCAGTAAGCTCTTGTCTAAATTGGAACTGCTTAAGACTTAACCATCTTTTTTCTTGATCATACAGGGATAATAATAGCAATTGGCATTTATATACCACACATACACCATGTGCCAGGCACTGCTCTGAACACATCACATAAATATTAACTCATTTACTCCTCTTAAAAAGAGGTAGGGACTGTTATTACCCCTATTTCACAGATGGAGAAACTGAGGTCTAGGAAAGCTAAGCAGCTTTGCTCAAATCCACAGACCCGGTAACTGTCAGAAGCCAGATTTGGACCAAGCAGTCTGGCTCCTGAGTCTTTGATTTTAGGATTAATATCTCTTGTGTAAGAATATTTTTTTCAGGTGGGTTTTTTTTTTTTTTGAGGAAAAACTCAAACATTTTAAAAAATAGATTAGTCTAATTTTACTTTTGTAAAAATTGTATTTATCCATCCATTCTGTCTGGACTAATGTTTAAAAAATATTAACTCTGAGAAATAATATGTGGTAATATTGTAGATGAGTTTCTCCTTTCTCCTCTTTGTGCTTTTACATATAATGCAGACTTCTGCAGATGTGTATCATTTCTACAAAACAACAAAGGGGCGAAAGCGTTTAAGTCAATCTTCGAAGATACTGGAACAGTAGGCATTGCAATCGCAAGTGCTGGACATGGTGCCGTCCACAAGAATGCACTCTAAATTGTGCCCCAGCCACCTGCACAAGTGGCCAGCCATGCTCTCAGATGGGATTAGCTGGCTGAAGAGTCACTGCCCTCCCTCTCATTCTTGAGTCAGGTGATTGGCTTTAGACACAGAAGCCATCTAATCAAGTCACACTGAGGGGCATGCACAGTGAAATACCTGAACCCGAAAACTCCGTGGAGAGGCAGGAGCTCCGTAAAACACTCATTCCTGCCTCCGACTGCCTTGGGCCACTGTCTGCAAAACCAGGAGGTGCCTTTCCTGCAGATTAACTGTGGGAATTGAGCAATTCCTGAAAAAGCCAACTGGTAGCCAGGCTTTGTACGGTAGAGTGTTCTAGTGGCCTCGGCGTCAAGGAACACATGGGAATTTGAATCAAAGAGAGAAAAGGATAAACACAATCTACTGAACAAACTCTGTCAAGCTTCCGAGTGTCATTTTAAGTTGAATAGAAAATAGCAGAAAGTAGATAACACTGCACTTAAGAGTTAGAATTGCAGACATGAGTAAAGAAATTAAATTGCTTAATCCATCCCTTTCTGGGTCACCCGCTCCAGAGCCCCTCCCCCAGGGTTTTAAAAGCCTTTTAAAAATTTCTTAAGCAACGGATTTTTCCCACTTGTCTAGGAAGAGCATTTTACAATCTAATTTATTTTCAGTTAAGAGTATTTTATTTTATTCTATTTTTTTAAATTTTTAATTCTTTTTTTAAATTTTATTTATTTATTTGAGAGAAAGAATGAAAGAGAGAGAGAGAGAATGAGAGGGGGGAGGGTCAGAGGGAGAAGCAGACTCCCTGTTCAGCAGGTAGCCCAATGTGGGACTCGATCCCGGGACTCCAGGATCATGACCTGAGCCGAAGGCAGTCGCTCAACCAACTGAGCCACCCAGATGCCCAGTTAAGAGTATTTTAAATAGTTATTCATTGCATACTTTCCCTTTTGCAACTCCTCAATCCTTATAACTTCACAACTATTACCAAAATCCCTTCCTTCAAATGATTCCTGTCCAGATTTTCCTTGCTTTCATTTTCAACTAATAAAATGTATGTGTGTGTGCATATATGTATATAAGATATCTATAGTTATCAATACAGTGTAAAATCTATATAGATTTAGATATACTAGCTATTTAATTATGTGTAAGTGTGAATATATAATTACAGACCAGAGAAGTGTGGATATATATATATTTCATACTAATCTGTGTGTATATATATGTGTGTGCATCTGCATGTGTGTAGGTACATAAATACATATAAATCAGTTTGGTTGTCCTGTTTGAGGGAGCAGGTTAGAAATGCATAGTACAAAGGTTAGTAATTCCCCCATTATCTTGTTTGTAGCCTATTAAACTGGAGATTGATGGAGAAAAAAACTTGCTGGTCAAATTTGACCCTTCCTACAGAAATGATTTGAACAACTGGGTGGCAGAAGAAATTCTAGCGATCAAGTACATGGAGCACCCTCAAGTAGATAGCCTGAACCTGCGTGGAGAAGTGAACTACCCCAACCTCAGCTTTGAGACCATGGAGCTGGATTTTGGCTGTATCCTGAATGATACCGAGGTGATCCGATACATAACAATGACCAACTGCAGCCCCTTGGTGGTGAAGTTCCGCTGGTTCTTCCTGGTGGACAACGAGGAAAATCAGATAAGGTACCACCTGCCCGGCAGTTCCTCAGAGCTCTTCTCTACTGGTCATTTTCCTCTCCTTTCGGCTTTGCACTAGGTTTCCTGAATTCTGTGTGCTGGTCTTTCACGTTTCAGTTCCAACAACTGATTACTGACAGAAAGAACAAAGGGCCTCAAATCATGGTTCATCCTAGATTTTCAAATGGGAAAACCAGATGAAACATCTTTGAGTTGAGAGCCCCTATTACCCCCAGATTAGCAGCTCAATATCCATAAGCCTGCTTTAATTTTGAATTGAGTGGTTGGATCATTAGAAATTCATCACTAAAAAATGAAGTCTTTATAGCGTTTTCTTAAGCATTTCAAACCCAAAGCACGAATCGAGGATTACAATACGTTGAGTATGTGCTGCACTGAGCTCCAGGCTCTGCATATTTCAGTGGGTTCAAGTCTACCCCATATATATACACACACATGTCCATGCAGACGTATATATCTGCACAAAGTAGTGGGAGGTGGTGAGTGCTGAAAGAGGAAAGCCGTTTTCACGATATTTGGATTTAGAAGTGTCTCTCTGTTCAGTTAAAAGCTAAATCCAAACTTAATTTGGAAAACACTCCTTAAAAAAAACAATAAACAGCCTGTTTCGGGCCTTAGGAACATTTTCTTGGGGAGTCCAAAGCCTCACTGGTGACCAGAACAAACGGGCTTCTGTATATCTCCCTCTTGGATGTTTGGCCAGCTCTGTGTTCAGCCCCTGAATGTCCAGTAGCCACTCTGAATAGGAAAGGCTCATGTTGTTTCCTTGGCTCGACAGTACTTCCTGTATGCAAGCCTCATCTTGTAGATGACAGCCAGCTTTTCCCTTCCCTTGCTTGTTACCATGGTAACCACGGCTTGCTCTCAATGTCTTTCAAAGACATCTAATGATGACCCAGCGTAGCCCTGAAGCCGGGCCGGGGCCCGAATGACAGAGCCTGCTCATTAGATGCCAAGGACTGTTTCGGTTTGGGATGAAATCAGCCAACCTGACCTAATGAACTTTGAATACCAGATTCTCTGAAGTTATTTTGATGTAACATAGCTACACGAGTTTATTCTATCCAGGAGCCAGGGACATGCTTTGTTTATTTTTCATTTTTGAGAGGCCATTTCCATAATTAAAATAATGGCATTTTGAAAATATACTTGGCCAATACTGGAAATGATGCACTTAATTTTTCATGGTTTAAGCATCTTTTTAACCATTTTCCCCATCTTAAGGATCTTCCTATATCTCAATATCAAACCTCTGCTTATAATTCATTTGTTCACTCATTCACTCATTCACTCAGAGAGTCATTCAGAAAACATTGGATAAGTGACTCTTATGCATCAGACAATGTGTGAGGAGTCAGGGATATAAAAGTGAATAAGACTTTATCCCTGGCCTGAGGCTTTGGGGGAAGCAGAGGGAACATGTGATAACACCAGGCTCTGAGGAAGGACAGAGCGGGGCTGACAGCTCAGAAGAATCCAAGAAGACTGCCCTGAGAAGCACAGTTCAGTGTCTCCGGTGAAGCAACAAGGAAACACTCTACCTAACAGGAACAGCATGTTTATGTTCGTTAGGATTCATGGATTGCGTTCTGTCACAAGTGACAGGAAACCTGACCCCAAACAAAAACGAAAAGGAAAGGACATTCACTGGCTCCTACAACTCGAAAGTCCAGATTCACTCTGGCTTCCGGCCCAGCTTAAAGTGAGGCTCAAACAGTGTCACCAGAGCCAGGGGCCCCATCTTTCAGCTCCGCTCTCTCTCATGTGTTAGCCAAGTTTTCAGGTCAGCTTTTCTTCCATGGTCCCCACATGGCTGCCAGCACTCCTGGGGCCGCATCCTTGCAGATCTGAGCTCCCAGAAAGGAACATTAGGCCTTGTCCCAGAACTCTCTGAAGATTCACTCTGATCAGACCAATTCAGTCACATTGCCTGTCCCCTCCCCAAGTCAGTGGCTCAGTGGAGGGCAAAGTACTGATCAGCGTTGTCTGGGCCACCTGCCCCACACCAAGGGCTGCCGTGGTGACCTCAGAACCCCGTGGACTGAATGGGGTGAGAGTCGGGCAGATCTCCCGACAAATGCTGACATATGGGAGAATGAAGCCTGGAAGGGCGAGGATGCATCTACCCGTGTCCACAGAGGGCCCGTCGGCGTGGCTAGAGCACAGACTTCACTGGCCGGGGAGAAGCCAGGGAGAAGTCTAGGGTGTAGCTTGGCAGTCGTATGTGAGAGGCCTGGTGCCTGAGATAAGGAGTTTAAAAGACTCTTGGAAGCAGTGGGGAGATTTGTAAACCAGAGGCAACAAAGTGTGCTTTTTTTTTCTTCAGAAAGATAACTCAGCCTCATTCAACATGGCTACCCAACCCCTCCTTCCAAAACACCTGCCTTTCTTGCTTTGAATAACACTGCACTCTCCTGCTTTCCTGCTCATCCCTTCAACCTTCCACGCCTTCTCAGCCCTCGGCCAGGAACAGGTGCACTGTTTGTGGGATGCAGGGCTTCCTCCTGGGCCCCTGCTCTTCTTGTAATGGCAGCTAATGCCTGTCACTGAGGCTTCTGACTGTCTCCACCTAGACCCTCTGCTGAGTCCCAAGGCCTTCTCCTTCTTGACATCTCCTCTTGGATGTTTCCCAGGTGACTCATGTCCAACATGGCCCATGCCAAACTCGGGCTCTTCCCAGGCCCCCTCCCTGCCTCTCCTCCAGAGCCACCTGTCCCCAAGAATCACAGTGTTGTGCTGAGAGGCATCTAGATTCCTTCCCATCCCTGACCTCACTCAGCAAACCCATCACCAAGTGCTACCTATCCTGCCTTCTAAAACCTCCTCATTCCCATTTCCATGGTGATTACCCTAATTCAAGTCACCATCCTCTCTTGCCTGGACCATTTTAATGCCCCCAGCCGGGCTCCATCATCCACCCAGGTAACCAAGTGATGAACAGGTCACTGCCCTGGTTTTCAGCCTTCAGTGAGGACCCATGCTTCTCAGGATGAAGTACAAAATACCTACTGTGCTCAGTAAGGCTCAGCGTGGGCTGTCCCTGTGTTTCTCCCCAGTTTCTTCTCACTTCACTCTGCCCCCACCATGCCGGCCCCTTTCCCATCCAGTGCCGTTCCTGTCTAAGCCCGCGCTGTCTGCTGGAAGCTCTTCCCACGCCCCACCTCACCAGCCCCTGCTCCCTTGTCAAGTCTCAGCCCCAGTGTGCTTCCCCGGGAAGCTGTCTGGAGACCCTTCCCTACCTGGCCTCCTCTGTTGTGGGCCCTGGTAGCCCATCTCCTTCGGGATATATCACACTTGTAATTATGGCTCAGTGTCCAACATCCCGGCTGGCTCTTCATCCCCTTGAGGCCAGGGAGCTCATCCATCCTGTCACCTCTGGATCCCAGAGCCCAGCACAGAGTAGGTCCTCAAAAGGCATTTTCTAATTTGTAACTGCTCCCCCCGCCCTGGGTATATGTGGTGAGGGAGAATCATTTCATCACTGATTAAGATTCTTTTCTGTTGGCTTCTTGGCACCTATCAAATGGAAAGGTTCAAGGTATAAATGTCACCTTGATTAGAAAAAAAAAATGCCACTTGCCTTCCAGACAGGCTTTCTCTGCAGACAGAAAAACATAAACCACTCATTGGCTAAAGGTCACTTTTATCAGGTATACCAACACTAACCTTTCTTTTCCAATTAGAATTTTCCTAAGTCTTACCGTTAGTAAAAGAAAGAGGCTTTTCTTTTTCTTTTATTAGGGCTGGCTGGATATGAGGATGTCCAGCCACTCTCACCATCTCTCCCTGTCATAGCACACACACATCTGCTGTGTGTGCACACATGTGTACCCACGCATGTGTGCATGGATGTGACTTCGTAGGCATTTCTGACTGGGCCATTTAAAGCATCTCTCTTGTTTAAGCATTTTTTTTTTTTTCCGAGTTGGCCCTCATGTCACATAAAAGAACAAAGACAGAAGGAAAATGGACAAGCATGCTAAGAAAGCACTCCCTAAGAGGAAAGCCGGTCATTGTCTTAGACACCTGCTTATCCACGTGAGTTCATGTACATGACTGGGTTCGGGACTGACTTTGGGAGCTGATGGGCCAGGCCGTGCGTACATACACATGTCATGAGGAAGCCGGGGTGAAAGATAAGGTGCAGGTATGTCTGCTGGCAAGAGCCAGCACTGTAGGAACGTGTCCCTTCTTGGGTCTGTCTCTTTGGCGTGACTGCTCAGCTGGTCGAGAAAATGATGCTTCACGGCATCTGTGTGGAAGAGACACACAGGCAGCCCACACGTGAAGCAGCCTTTAACCCCTAGGAGGCGAGAAAGATGTTAGCTCGCCTGGCATCTTTGCCCTAGCTCAGGGCCGCAAAGCTGAGGTGATGCTAAAACTTAGAGCACGTGGCCAAGTGGTCTCCAAGGACAGCGTGGCCTTTTTAAAAAAATTTATTATTTTTTTATTTAAATTCAATTAATTAACATATAGCATATTATTAGTTTCAGAGGTGGAGTTCAGTGATTCATCAGTCTTATACCCAGTGCTCATTACATCACATGCCCTCCTTAATGTCCATCACCCAGCCACCCCATCCCTCCACTCTCCTCCCCTCCAGCAACCCTCAGTTGGTTTCCTAGAGTTAAGGGTCTCTTATGGTTTGTCTCCCTCTCTGGTTTCATCTTGTTTTATTTTTCCCTCCCTTCCCCTATGGTCCTCTGTTTTGTTTCTTAAATCCCACATATCAGTGAGATCATATGTTCATTGTCTTTCTCTGGTTGACTTATTTCACTTAGCATAATACCCTCTAGTTCCATCCTCGTCATTGCAAATGGCAAGATTTCATTTTTTGTTGGCTGAGTAGTATTCCATTGTGTATATATACCACCTCTTCTTTATCCATTCATCTGTCGATGGACATCTCAGCTCTTTCCACAGTTTGGCTATTGTGGACCTTGCTGCTATAAACATTGGGGTGCAGGTGCCCCTTTGAATCATTA